CACACACACACACACACACACACACACACACACACACACACACACACACACACACACACACACACTTATCCCTGTACTTTTCCACTGCTCCTGCCAACCAGTAATTTTGCTCTGGTTTGTATTCCTTTGGAGTGTGTGCCTTAATGCCAGGCCAAAGCTCAGCAAAAAGGGGTCCAAGTTTTGCAAAATCCTTGATGCTCCAGCAGAGGATAGAAAAGAAAAGTGGCACTTTCTTGCTTTCACCCCCTGCTCCCCCACCCCACCCCAGATGGAGTCCCAAAGAAAGCATCCCCTGCCCCCTCCAGGCCCTGCCCTAGCCCTGGGAAGACAAGTGGAGGTCTTACCAGGCAGCCAGCAGCCTTGGCCAGCTGATGGGTGGAGAATGGGAAGGCCTCATTGCTCAGGTCCACATCGAGAACTTCCTGCAGGACAGTTCGGCTGAACAGAGAAGAAGACCCCAATGAATGACCCTCACTGCCAGCTCTGAGCCTCCCAAGAGGGCCTGGCTCCCTCAGAGCATCACAGCTGCCCCATGCCAGAGGCCCCCTCAGCCAGAGGCCCCCTCAGCCAGAGCACCAAGAGTCGCCAAGGCAGCTGCAGCACCAACTCCTTAATCCCGCAAAGCCTCGGTTCGGCTCAGCCAGCATAGACCATTCAGACGTCCTGGGACCCCAGCCACAGCCCTCAGATCTGGGATAAGGCAGAAGTGGGGTTCTTGCATGGACCAACAGCAGCCTTAAGCAGAGGGAGCTCAGTTCTCTCCCCGTTTCAGGTTTGGTAGAAGGTTAGATTGCTAACACGCTTTATATCAGGTTGGGCACAGTTATCAGAAACAACTGCAGACCGACTTCCTTAATTTCCAGATGGAGAAATCACTGCATAAGGTCTTCCAATATTTGCCTTTAAAATGGTGTCCTTTCTGCCTTCATACATGCATTGCTACAAACTTTGATCAACCTATTAACTTCCAAGGGACTAACACCTTTCTTATTTTTTTCTCCCCAGGCAGCTGTCAGATTCTGCATGAGGTGAGCCTTAGGAGGAAAGTCTCAGGCCAAATGCTCCGTCTCTTTGAGCAGCTTTCTCAAAATCTCGGCTCTCCCTCTCCACACCTTCACCTGACAAAATTTACCCAGAATATCTATAGTTGGGGGAGGGGGGCAGCACTGGAAGACAAAGCTGATTTGACAATCACACATTACATTTCAAAGCCTCCCAAACTTCTAATCAATGTGTAGCAAACAGCGCGAGATGAAAACATGGATCGACTGTGAGCTCTGATTGCTTTGGGGAGAGGCTGACATTCCACTTAAGTTTAAGATGGCTGTGAAAGCAAAATATTTGATATTATGAAAAGGCCAGCAGGGAAACGAAGAGAAACTGGTGATTTGCTGTTTTTGTTCCCTGGACTCAGATATGTGAACCCCCAACGTCCCATGTGCAAAGACACAAACCTGGCAAGTTGGTGAGTCTCTTCCCTTTTCCACAAGGAGCGTTGCACCAATGGTCTGGGAGGCAGCTGTGCAAATCTCCTCAGGTTGACAAGCAAAGGTGCCAAAGGGAGCCCTCCAAGGCAGCCCTCAAAGCCAGGAAGCAAAGAGTCCACCAGCCCAGGAGGAGCCAATCTGGACTCAGAAGGAGCTGAGGCCGGGACTGGATTCCCTGCTCACCACACCCGGGCCTATCTGGGAGGGACTGGAGGTCAACTGGCAGAAGGAAGCTGCTACCTTGGGTGATCTCTGTAGTAAGCAATGCTCACCCTGGAATGGCCAGCCTAGGCATTCTGCCAGGTGGGCCAGGAGGAGGAGGAAAGGCTGCCCCCTTGGCACCCCTGGGCATTGGTCTTACTGAACGCTATGACAGAGGGACTGTGGTCCCATCCGCATTGGACCAAACTCCGAGACTCACCTGGCAGGGCCTTGAATGCTGATCATGCCCAGCTCTTCCGACCTGTCAATCAACTGGCACTGAAAGTGTTTCTCCTGCAGCACCGTCCTGATATGTGACCAGTTGTACTGGGCAGCAGCGCCCCCAATAGCCAGATAATAGCCATCCCCTAAAAAGGATGAGAGTCACGTTGGCAAGTGCAGCAGGCCCTGGAAGCTGTGGGCTGCGGTGCCACTTAGGCCAAGGGAAGTGGGGCTCACAGAGCCCTCCAGGTTGCTGCTCCTGCTCTGTTGCTGGCTGATTGATTGATCGGCTGAATTCATCCCCACCACAACTCAGGAGACTTGGCAGTTTACAAGTGATGTTCTGCTGACAACTGCACAACATCCTTAAATCCTGGCTGTCCACTTTTAGATTGGGGGGGGGAGGCAGACCCTCTGCAGAGCTGCCAAAAGCAAAACACACTCTTTCCCAACCAGACAGACAATCCAAATTCTACATTTAATGACGTGTCATAAATAAAGTCACCTTCCTTTGACCAAGAGTTCACCCTGCTGACCTTCCACCTGCCAGAAATTGGACTACTGCAATACGCATCTCCGTGGGGCTGCCCTTGAAAAGATCCAGAAACTTCAGCTGGGAGAGAATGGAGAATGCAGGGGAGCAAGCAGCACACGTTATACCTCTGCTTCGCAAGTGGCCTTGGCAAGCGGTTTGCTTCGGGTCAAATTCAAGCTGCTGGTCTGGCCTTCAAAGCTTTGCACCGCAGGGGACCGGGCTCCCTCTGCCTGGTCGCATTCGCCCACCTGCTGGATCAGGCAGAGCTACAGAGGCCATCAGGCACGGCTCCTCCAAAACCAGACCGGCTCTTTTCAGTGTCTCCATCAGGTTCTGGCCTGGGGCTGCCAGGCGACCTTGTTGAGGGACCATTTTTATCCTGAGGTTTGCATTTTTGCTTTTGTGATAATTATTTCTACATTTTCTATACTGTTTTCTATGTAGTAATGTTACTGATTCTTGCCACCCAGGGTTGTCTTTGGTGACTATATTATCACTGTAGTGGGGCAGTGGTCAGAGTACAGTACTGCAGGTTACTTCTGCTGATTGCTGGCTGTCTGCAATTTGGCAGTTCGAATCTCACCAGGCTCCAGGTTGACTCGCCCTTCCATCCTTCTGAGTGAGGGTAAAATGAGGACCCAGATTGTTGCAGGCTAGAGGGTGACTCTGTAAAGCGCTTAGAGGGGGCTGGGAAGCACTGTAAAGTGGCATATAAATCTAAGGGCTATTGCTATGTCTATCTGTCGGCCTATCATCTATCCATCCATCCATCCATCCATCAGCAGCTGTGGTGTTGCAGTGGTTAGAATGCAGCATTGCAGGCTAACTCCGCTGACTGTCAGCAGTTCAATTCTTAGGGGCAATAGTGCTTAGAGAGGGCTGGAAAGCACTGCACAGCGGTATAGAAGTCTAAGTGCTATTGTTATATCAATTGAATTGAAAAATAAATAACTGAGCACCCACCTCAAGCCCTTCAGCTTTTCCAATCAACCCAAAGTGACTCAGTGTTGCCACAAAACAGGGCAATATGTCCAAAACCAGAAGTGGAAGCCAGATGTTATGTGCCCCCTCCCTTGAGGAGCTCTTTCAGTATGGGCACAAGGGGGAAGCACAGGCTGGGGCCCTGAAGGCAGTTCATGGCCCAGCCCCCTCCTCTTCCTCTTCCTCAGCATGGCCAGCCTCAGGCCCAAATGCTGCTTCTCACTTGCCACACCCACCCTCTCAAGTGCTGGGAGGAGGGTCTCAACAGCATCTCTTCTCTTGTGCTTCACCTGATAATTGGCCCTAATAAAACTCGAAAAACATAGGTGCTGATCTAATTGCCTGTCAAGCGGAAGCCTCTCTGGGCTGGCAGCTCCTGCACCCAAAATAATAATGGCTTGGCGGGATCTGGCTCTGGAGCGCTAATCAGCTCCCTTTCTTCCACATGTCAATCTCAGGCGGAGATTGTCAGATTCCCTGGTTCAAACCTTGCAGAACCTGCTAGGAGCAGAACAGGCAGAAGCTGCAAAAACAAAACAGAAGAAAACAGCTGGAAGTCTCTGTCAGGGCAAATTGGGGGCTCCGGGGAAAAGGACGAGAGGACGCCCTTCTTCTCCCCACCAGCAGCATCCCTCGTCTGCCTGTTCTCTCCTGTGAGGTAGGCAAGCTCAGGGGTCCCTAGGAGTCTGTAAAAACCCTTTGTGGGGCAGCAGAAACTGTAACCAAACCTTGACAGCCTGTTGGAACCCCTCTCTGGAGTCCTTCAATTCACCAGGCTCCCTCCTGCCAGGGCCCTCTATTCCCTTCCATCTCTCCAAGCTCCATCATAAGCTCAGTGCATCAGAAAGCATTTTCAGCAGCTTTAAAGATCCACAACAAGTTGTTGTAGTTGTTGTTCATCATTTAATGACCCCGTAATCCCTTACGGGTTGGAGTCAGGGCAATTGACTGGAGCCGAGTGCTTACTGGCCAGATGCCCTTCCTATCGCCAATGTGGAGTTTTTGCAACAGATATATTCTCATGGTGCCCAGACAAAGATCAGCCTCTACCTAGGATCGAACTCACAGCCTGCCGATTTGAGGCGAGAGGTCCAATTCTAGGCCACCGCAACACTCAAAGGTCCACAACAAAGGCCTTTCAAAAGAGCAGGGGGCCTTTTTGCCCAGCTGAAAAAAGACAGTAATTTTGTGGCTTCTCTTCACTGCTTTTTCCTTTCCTGCTACTTGGTTTCTCTGATTCCAGGTGTGCGTAGAGATGGGAGCATCTTGGGGGGGGGGGGGTTGTCCCTGTCTTTGGAAAGGTAAATGCAGTTGTTATCAGACCAGCGAGGATCTTGACCCCAGAGATGCCAAGCCTTAGAGGGCAGAAAGCACAAAGGGAGCCTTCCTCCTTGACCTGGGCCAGAGAGGGGCAGGGGCTGGCCCCCTTAGCACCCCTAGAGCTGCCTGTTTGGGGAGAGACCCTGAGGAAGGGGCCCATCCCAGAAAGGTCACCAGAGGAAGGAACCGGCTGCTTCCTTCCCAACCAGGGCATCTGTTCTACAGACTCCGTCAGCCCAGCAAACACAGTTCAGGGGGGATGCAGGGGTGCGTCACCTTCAAAGGCAGGAGCCAGTGCTGAGTCTTGGGGCCCAGGGTCGATCGGACTCACAGTCAAATCGCTTTCCACTCCCCCGTTTTTGTTCAGCATGCAGGTGTAAACGGTGGTTCCTGTGGAAAGAGAATTGGGCCCCCTTCCTGCTTGGGTGATGGAGGAAACTGCCCGGATCCCCCCAGCCCTTTTCCTGCCCTTGCATCCCATCAGGCTGCAACCTTCCCCAATGACTTCCTGGCAGCATTGAAGTGGGACTCATGCCTGGATTAAAGACTTGTCCCCTCTTCCTGCCAGCAGCAACTGTGGGGATCTCAAGGTCCCTCTGGGCCGGCTGGGCCATTGGGGGGTGCAGTTAGGTGGCAAGCGGTGTGTCCTCTCGGGTCTCTGGCACCAGGCTCTGAGGCCACCTCATCCTCCCGGCCTCCCAGGAAGAACCAAGGAAGGGCCAGGCTGTAAAAGCTGCCCCCTCCTGCAGGCAAGACACACCGGCTCCGTTTAGAAGCCCCCTCGACATGCCAAACTTGTTCAGCCAAGATCTGCCATCTTCAAAACTGTGCCAGCTTGCTGGAAACACCTATGAAGATGCCCCTCCTGAATAGCTGCAACCCAGGTGGTTGAGTCCTATGCGTGTCATGGCGAAAGGGTCACCCTGGGACTGGAAATGGCAGGGTTTGAGTCCACTTGAGGGCATAGAAGCTCCCCGGTTGCTCCTTCCTCCGACTGTAAAAGGGTTTGCAAAGGCTGCCAATCCCCCCTCCCCTCATCAGGGACTTGGGGGTGAGTCTGCAGCCCTTCCCAGGGGTACTGAAGGAGCAGCATTGGAGCAGCATTGGTGGAGATGGCCCATTCCTTAGGGGCCAAACTGAGCTGGGGCAGGCTAGTCCAGCTGACTCCAGACAATCCTTGGCCTGTGTCCAGGACCCCTTCGGAAACTGGCCCTGCTGGCGCTGGTATGGGCGGCCCTGGCATCCCCTGCCTGGCTGAGCTCAAGCAGAGGATGCAGAGAGCTGGCAGGGAGACCCGCACAGGAGCTGGGGGAGGGGGGAGCACACCAGCCCTCCTCCATGGAAGACTGAGCCCAAGGCACTGGAGGAAGAGGCCCTACCTGGGGGCTTGCGAACATCGGCCGTGAAGAGCCAATCGGCAGCCTTCCTGGCATCTGGACCCAGCAGGTAGAATTTGCCAAAGTAAGACATGTCAAAGACTGCCAGAGCATTTCGGCAGCTCAAGCATTCCTTCCGGATCTGAAAATGCAGGCACCGCCAGGGTGGGCGAGGGTCCGAGCAAAGTCCCTTTGTGATACCCTCTGCCCATCTCCCTCGAGGCTCCTCTGTTCTGCACCCCTCCCCGAACCCCCAGCTCCTCACGGGGAGCCATTCACCCCCTTCCAGCCATGTCTGGCTCTGCGGGAAAACCGCTGGGTGAGGGAGGGTCTGCAGGGGCCTGAGGGGACCCTCTCTCTGGCAGCAGCCAACCAGAGTCCTGACTGGGCACCCTGGGAGGGAGAGGAGGGCGGCAGGGGGCCTTCATGTCCTGAGTCTGCCCACCTGGTGAATCCCTGAGCCCTCCTTCTACTCACAGTGCTGTGATGAGGAGGGAAGTCGAAGGTGTACTCCTCGGAGAGCAGCCGGCGATAGGCATCCTCCTCACAGGGCGGGTGGCCATAAGCCCCGTAATAGTTGTAGTCTGCCACCTGGATTGGCACATGGACAGCGGGCCTCAGCCTTTCCCCCCTGCAGAGGCAGGTGCTCAGAGCTGGGCATATCGTGCTGCGGGTGGGGCTGGGGCTGCAGGGAAGTCAAGTGTTGGGGAGGGGGAGCTGAGCCTGACTGAGCCATGGAAGGAGGGAGGGTGCACTTGGAGTGGACAGGTGGCCACATCCAGGACCTCCTGGGTGGGATCTAGCCTGACCACGTGGCTTCCGCTCTAGCCTGCACTCCTGGGGTTTCCATGGGGTCTCCCATCCAAGTTCTGATCAGGCCTGGCTCAGCATAGAGATGGCAAAGGTGCCACCTGTGGCTGTGATGAGGGAAGGTCACCTCAGCCCTTCCTTCCTCTAAAGCCCCACAGCAGATGCTGGAAGCAGGGCTGCCAACCGCTGGGCGGGTTTCTCCGAAATGGCCCAACAAGGCCCAGCCCAGAAGAGGACAACCTTGGCCCAGGAGGCTTGAGCAGGCCTGATTTAGAATAAGTTTATTTATAGGCCGCCCTTTTCCCTGAGGGGACTCAGGGCGGCTAACAACTTATATGGGTGGGGATAAATACAGTGACATATAACATAACATGTAATTAAAAAATAAGCAACATTCATTCAGCATTCGGGTGGGGGTGAATTATAATCTTTACCCCC